GGGCCTCAATCAACTGCTAGCTGAAGCTGAGCAAGTTGCTGTGTGTGTTTTGTGCTCAGAATAACCTTAAAATTGTTAGAAAAGCACCCCCTGGTGCCCAACCCGGAGGATCAGGACCTGGAGAGGCGGAGCAAGTGGACTTTGAGGGTCAGATAATGGCCCAGGACTTTGGTTTATATTTTTTTATTTCTATTTTTTAAGTGGACAAGAAGTTGCACGCCTTCTGGAGCTTGCTCATTGATGGGCTGAACACGCTAACCAGAACTTACAAAACACATTTGAACAAATGGCCAGATGTTTTGTTTTTAGCCCTCTTGACAAGTGAAATCAGTCCCAGGGATGAGTTAGATTTTGTTTGGTAACATTTTTAGTGACCTCATCAGTGGCGAACGGTATTTAAAAGTCTGTAACTGGAATTGAATTTGTGAAGCAGGATTTGGTTTCTCTGCTGTTTTATGTTCTCTTCACAGGTTTGTATTAACTCACCAGACCTTGCCCCCTGATACTGGTGTACAATCTCCTTTCCAGCAAGGAGATTGGGTTTCTTTTAGGATCTGGAAGGACGTGCCATTGCAGCCCAAGTGGGAAGGACCTTACCAAGTGTTGCTGACTACCCACACTTCTCTAAAACACGAAGGGATAAAGCCTTAGATTCACCATTCCAGGGTAAAGAAGACAGAGGAACCTCTCACTCCACCGGGAGAGGGTGACAACCAACCGTAGACTGCTGAACCTACAGAGGACTTAAAGTTTCTTTTTAAGAAGCAATAGATGGGAGGAGGCCCACAACCTGCTTGCCTCATCCAACAAGATCCTTTTGAGTCCACACTAAGAATACAGTTGGAGGATGTAGACAGGGACTTGGTTCATAAAAAAGCTGTGTTGTTTACGCATGTGCATGATGTAATTCACCCATGGATTTGTTTTAGCCAATAAGAATTGTGACGAATGTTACCTGCTTAGGGAAATGTATAAAAACCTTTGGACAATGCACCTGGGGAAGAGGCACGGGGACAGAGCTGGCAGTTTGCACAAGGCAGGAGAAGTGTGATGTCTCACCTAACGACCACAAGCTAGACTACCAGAACTCTCGTTGCTAAGTGGTGCATAGCCATGTGATGTTTCACCAAACAATTGCTTTGCTTAATGACTGAAAGTTGTAGTCGCTAAGCGAGGATTACCTGAAATTCTTAGGAGTTTAGCATGAAATTAATATATTAGAAAATCCGCTTCCATGTTGTTCGAACTCCTCAAACAGCGTTTTAAAACATTCTATATGAGATCTTTATTATCTCATTATATGAATTAAAGTATCTTTGGCACCTTCAGGAATGGATAATTAATCAAACCAAACC